CATATAGCTTAAGTCTGCGATTTCACTAACTGAGATTGCATCACATCACTGTTCTTCTAGATTTCATTCATTTAGTTTTTTCATGAATAGAGCTAACTAAAATCTCGTATTTTTCGCTATGCTATACATGAAATTGAGTGACGAGCTCGCTATTATGTAATTAATTACTTGTTGTCAATAGACAAGATCGCACACAACTAATGTGATGGCTTTTCTTTAGATACATTCGTGATCCTTCATACTTTTGAAGGCTGTTAACGATTAAATTTCAAGTATCGATGTGCACGTTATTTCTTCTGACTCTATGCTCTGAATAGAGAAACAAAGGAGAAGTCAAATATTGTGTGAAAGTATTCTGAGAGTACAAGATGCGATGTAGATGTTTTTGCATAACAAAAACTGAATTGCTAATTAAAAATCTGAACGAATGCGAGGTTGATAAGGTACAACTAACTTGAAACTTGAGCAAGATTTGTTTTTCATTTATTTACACATGGATGTGGGTGTAGGTGTCATTCCTCTCTTTACTCACACCCACCCACACTCATTCTTTTATCTTATTTGAAAATCTCGCAATTAAATATGAAATATTAGTAACTGTGACAAATTATTTCAACAATGATATAACGCGTATGAATTGTTCGAAAATAAAATCTTTATATACAAATAAATTATTTGTTCTTCCGTAACACTTTGATTCATACTTTCCTTCTTTACAAAAATTATTTAAATAAAAAGAAATTCAGTGAACAAGTTACAATATATTTCAATCATGTTAAAGAAAATATCACTGAATAAATTATCAGTTGTATTCTTTGCAAAGAATCTCCATAATAATATTCAATAAAATTATAATATGAAAATAAAAGAAATAGGATTTAAATAATCGAAAGATGACAATGAAAGCAGATGAAGAAAGCGCAGCTCATAAGTGCGAGTACTGCAGGAAGGAATTGTATAGAATCATGAGAGATGAAACACATAGACTGAACAAAGCTAAGCTTTCCTTATGAGTGAGGTTATTAGGTTTAGGCTCACCTAATTTTATTATGTTCAATTAAAAGATACATATCATAGAGTGTTAACTGGAAGTTTTTGAAGAATTATTGATATTATTGATTAACACCTCTTCCCTCACTCAAAGATCTCGAGCCTTCTATTATGTGAAGATGTTTAATTCAATAATTCTATTCTCTTATCATTTTAATATCTCCTAAGAAAATAGACAACATTTAATTGATGAATATTCGGGAATCCTTTGCTCTGAAGAAACTTTGATACGATATGTGTATATTATACATTCTGATCCTTATCAATCTAAAATCATTGTCCACTGTATTATAATACATTTATTATGTACAAAATCAATTATCTATTAAAGATAAATACAAAATAATCATATAAAGTCTATAGTAGGAAAATTTTTTCTGAAATCCTTTGAAAAATGATAAATTGGGTGTGGGTGTGGAGTGTGGGTGTGGTGTGTGGGTGGGTGGGTGACGGTGTGGGTGTGGATGTGGGTGAGTGTGGGGTGTGGGTGTGAGTATGGGTGTGGGTGTGTGTGGTGTGGGTGTGGGCGTAGGGTGTTGGTGTGGGTGGGTGTG